AGTGGGTCCTGGAACAAATTGGGCTACAAAAAGCGCTTTGAATGAATCAACATGCACACAGACATGTGCACGTTGGCGGGCGAAATCTTTGAAAATTAATTTCTCCCGTTTGGAACACCGTATCTTCATGCAACTTTCAGGTTTTGTTTCCCTTATAGTGATCCAACTATGTGCTATAAATCGTTTTGATATGTTAAGTACTTTTCGTTGAAATTGGAAAAATAGGCCTTGCTACGTGCATTTTCAAAAATTGTAACACTGGTGTTTGCCACATCTGTCAATCTTTTCAAGCCTCACGAATAATTAATAAGGTTTCTATCCATTATGGTGCGCAGTAGAAATTTGCAGAATAGCCTCCTTCACGAGTTATTAATTAATAAATATTACCCTTTTTGCCGGCATCCATTGGTCGATACCGAGACCCACGCGAAGTCACACCGAGTGACGCTAATGAATATGGCGCTTCGTCGGCCAAGCATGCAAGCCAACCTGAAAACCATGCCCGTGAGTTGGGTGAGAAAGAAAATCCTCGTCAAAATTTTGCTTGGAGAAAGTTCAAGGTGTAACACAAGCGTTTGCAAAAAAAGATTAAGCTGAAAGTCAGAATACTACTCGTGAATTAACAACTTGAGGATATTCCCAGAAATGGAGATAAATACATAGATTTTGGGACGTTTTCGAACGATTTATTCCCGACTTTAAGGTCAGCTTTACCAGTAACCTGTATTGACGTTTTGGCATCGATGACGGCGATTTTTTTCACTGACATGAAGTTTAGAATTTCTTTTTCCGTTACATTTCATTCATTATCAGCATATTTTCTGAGAAACACAACTTTCAAAAAGCTATGTTTTTTGGGTGCATGGATTTCACTGTTCTGTTATAGCTTCTAAGTACGTAATCGGATTAACATTGTTTAACAACAGGGACGCTTAGGCCTTCGCAACCACACGGCTGTATGTTAACGCCAAGCACCATCTTTCATCTTCGGAACTACATCTTCCGAAAATCTTTTGATGAAAGCCTAATTAAAAACGAGATTTGTGTACACTACACGGTGTTCTCAGTGTGAATCATGTAAACAAAAAATAATGAGCAATACATGTACAAAAAATTAATATTAATATAAACATACGAGTCACCATATGTTTGTTTTGTTTTGTTTTGTCAATGAGGTGGTTTCGTGGGTTATGTGTAGCTTCAGTATCATGTCTTGATCTGTTTTTGCGGTTTGAGGGTAGCTTATATAAGTGTTTTTTAATTCCCTGTTTACTATCACCAAGATGTGGGGTAACAGGTCTACGGACTACAGTTATTGGGTATCGATGTATGTATTGTAGTCTATGTCTATTGTATATTTGCATTCTTGTTCTTTGGCTGAATAAAATAATAATAATGATAGTAAAAGAACAAAATTCAAAAACTGCATTCCGACAAACATTTATTTTCGCACACACACACAATTTGAATAATAAAAACAATTCCAGCATTAAGAGCGGCATTTTGGATCAATGAAGACAAATGTAATATGAGAATTTTTTTTTAAAATCTCATCAAAAAAGGTGTCGCATTTGACATTTTCCCCGGGTTCATACTTCATCTATGACAACAAAAACTTCACAATGCCATCTGTTATATCCTGAAGTATTTGCTTTTTAACAATTCTGTAGCAAGTACATCTTTCACAAAGAGTGGTTTTGCTTAAATTTTTATGAATATTTCCGTTTCAAATGGCACACGTGGAACATTCGCGATGACCACAATGTTTAAATAAATGTTTTGCAAAATGATGAAATACATTTTCCCACCTTGAAAATCACGTATGTTCGCTTTCTTAGAAAAAAGTCAAAGGGGTATAAAATCTGGAGATCTAGGGGCCCCTTGTTCAGGTTCTTGTTTGCGCCATTAAACAACGTTAAATACCCCATTGAAAATATTTGGAAACATTGTGTTGCTAGTGTTTTTGGGTAGTTACAAAGAAAGGCCTGTATTCTTTGCATGCATGGACAAATATCAGTGAAATTTGTACTGACCATGGTCAACACCCAGACCAAATGTTGGCTGAAGAGAAAATTTGGTAACCAAAAATTATCCGAATGGACATTATTTTACTCACCGTGTGTAACAATTGGTTTCGATATAGGAATAGGTTTGAATACAACTGAGGGCCTACGTGAGTGAACATTCTGAGTACAATCGAACTAAACCAATATTATGGTTACTCAACCTATTGAAAATATTCCCCAATGAAATTATTTTTCACGCACTACTAAAGAGCCTCTTTAATCTACTTTGCTGAATACTTAAAAGCAGAAATATATATTTTGCGGTAGGCTAAATGAACTTTTTTCGCATCTACATTTAAATGTAGTAAACCTTAACATGCCAAATTTTAAATCTGAGTACAATCTAATAAAATAAAAGGTTAGATACATCGTGCTTATTAATTTTATCACACAATATCCAATACAGTTAGGCATACAAATCCAATACTTTAAAGTAGAAATATGTATTTATTGTAATAACAGCATTACTGGTGCATGTCAAACTATATAAATACCTGTTTGAAACAAACGTTCTAAAAGCCCAGTTTCAAATATGAGTACAGTTTATTTTATCACTCCAAGATAAAATACGTTATTTTCCACAGACATACGACGCAAACTCTTGTGGTAATTTGAATGACAATCACAAGTTCATTTTTTTATTAGAAAATAGAAGTTGTAAAGCAAGCATAAGAGAAATCATACATCATTATCTTTATAAACTCATAAACAATTCAAACCACGTTCCACTCTGTCATATAATGACTTATTAAGAGCAAGGACTTTCTACATAAAGTGTTGATAGATAGATGTATTTACGACACACGAAAAGCACAACTTAACTGGGCAGGTAAAAATCATCTTAATTTCCAATTAAAATATACCAAGAATACATTTAGACTGGCACACAGAATGTGTTTCAAAACAACACAAACGATTGGCTTTTAATCTGAGTAAGCAAAGGAGTGCAACATTTAAATGTATGTACAGCATGTACTGATTGAAATCAACACTAGGGAAAAAAAGGTGTACTCAATACGGACTCCCCACTGTTATTTACAAAGATGGTCTCGGCAAGTGAATTATTTTTGGTCTTGGTAAAGCTAAGCGTAACGTCTATTTAATGGCAGAAAGTCTGCCCATTGAAACGTAATTGCTGTCATCTTCGAGATTCGAAGGCCGCACTATATAATTGAATTTAAACAAGTATGCTTTTTCGTGTTGATAAAGAAAATGATTTTTGCTCCTAATACCTCTGCGGCATAATTCAGCTACTTGCCTCGACACAGAGAACATTTAAATTAAATCAACGTTAAGCATAGCTCACCGACCAAAATACCAGGTGTAGAATACTTTTTGAGATTGTCTCGAGATTCATTGTGAAAAAAGTGTGACGTGATGTTTCTTTGGGAGAAAAGCGTGTTCAATAATTATATGCTCTGAAAAACAACGGGCTTCTTTTTGTTGAAGCATTGGGCAAATCAAATTTTAGTTTTCTTAACTGTGAGTGAATGAAATTGCAATTTTCCTTACATTCTCAGTAAGGTTCAAACAACGATTGTGCACAATTATTCCATGGGTTTTTATCTGTTTTTCGAGCTGTTTGTAAGCACATAAGGCTGAAAGCAAAGCGTGAATGAATAAGTAACAAAAACATTGGGTTACCACATTCCACAAAAACTTCAATCTTCAAAATGTTCGATTGTTAAAAGATGCGATTTTCCGTTTGGCCGGAACTCAAATTCCGATACATTCAAATTAACAAATTACAAGATTACTAATCATCAAAGTTGCTTGTAATTAACACTGAATGAAATAGGACCAGATTATATAATTTCGATCAAAAGTCTGTCAGCCATTATCAAATTTAAAAACAAAATTTACTAAAAAATATGTTTAAATCTAAAAAAACAACAACATAAAGCACATTCAAAACTAACTACCTAAAAGCTCAAAGTACTGTGCGATAAAACTATATACTTTGTACTCACTTAACACGATACTACAATGTGTGTAACTGGATTACATATCAAAGTTCACGAGTCATAGATGTTGGATAATCGCCTTCACAACAAGAGCATACAGTACGTGAAATGCATTACTCACATAATGTATTATTCTAATCTAGGCGATTAAATATACATTCCTCACATCTAATTGAGATCTGTAATCTTATTTAAATCAAATACTAGTTTGCAAGAAAAATTTGCAAGCAAACATTTTACACAAATCAACACAGGCGCTCTGAAAAAAAATCATTTTTAACCTTCAAAATGCAATGTAATACTTGAAATGTACATAAGGAGCAGTTACTTGATCTGTTTTTTTGTTTCATGATCGTGTTTTAAAGCGGGCTTAAGTCTGCCCAAAGTTAAATCCTTAGGGTTGCAATGTTCTTTCGCCCATGTTTTAGGTTCTCACTCAATTACGATCATACTCCAGCAGTTTAAAACACTATTCAGTAGGCCAACTACTCGAAAACTAAAAAAAAAGAACACATGGGTCTTGAATCCAAGACATTTGGTTTTCTGTATTTATTTCTTTTCTGCAGGAAATTAATACACATGTACTTCACTGCAATTGGTCTTGTTCGCGAAGCTCCTTTTGTAAGTCTATCGTGACATTGGTTTGGATCTAACAAACGCTTTACTATTGCAATAGGCCTTCATGATGTTCACATTACCAACAGCATGTTCCATACAAGGCCGGATCCAGAACACAATTTTTGGGGGCCAAAAAAAAAATGTGTTCCTGAAAAAGTGGATCCAAAAATGTTCCGCCCCAAATTTGATAGGAAAAGCAAGGGGAGGTGGTGCAAATGTTCTGCTTTTGTTCCATATCTTTTCGTCAATATAAAGAATGTGCAATTCCGTTCATTGTGCTTTTATTATGCTGAGTTGATTGAGCTAACTGTTTTATAGTTATGTTTACGGGTCAGCTTTACCCGATTCTGATCTATTCTCGCCCCTTTTTTGAATACTTTCTCTGCATTGTAAAGAAGATAAGACCACCGACTGCGACAAGTACAGCTAGCGAGCAACCAAGACCAATCGCAGCTACGATACCTGACGATAACCCCTCCACCTCTCCACCTTTAGCACAAACAGGGAGATCAGACGACCACTGACCATCCTCAAGACAAATCAAACTGGAAGATCCTGTCAAGGTGAAGCCATCATCACAAGCTACATCCACAGTGGCATTCACAAGATATATTGACCCAGACACCGACCCATTCTCCACATCACCCGGATAGCCACAGCTAACAATCTTGACCAACCCTTTCTGGACTTCACTTATTGTGCTTTCCTGCACAAGAGTCTCGTTAGCGAAAGACAGGCTGCCGGTGGTTACCGCATCAAAGACACACTCAATGGAATCGCCACACAAGTCCTTGATTTCCTGACTCACTTGGTTCAGATCAGGAATCTCGAAGGTCGGGGAAAACTCAGGAAAGTGGTATGTGCTGTAGTCAAATGGGGAAATGTAGGTGAATATGGTGTCCTCTTGAGCCACCAACCACTCCAAGCCAAAATCATGAAGTTCTCTAAGCGAAGATCCGGGCTCCAAAATGGTTCCGTTTGGGAACTGAAGATCGTCATCTGGGTTTCCGTTTAAGTTTCCGAGAAGCCCTTGAACCTGACCCTGGAACTTAGCGCCTAGTTCAGCGATGAAAGACATCACATCGGTATCAATGTTCACGGTAACGGCAATGCCAGCACTGAATGCTATGTTGATTTTAGTCAAGACAGAGTTGAAGCGGATTTGAACCCCCGGGAGGCGTTGGACTTTGACAGGTATCGAGTCAAGACGCAACGGCTCGCCGTCTACAAGAATCAGTGTCTCGTTCATGTTAGACATCTGCACCTGGACTTTGGAGGAATCATTGGTTTGAAGAACAAATGCCGTGTACACAGAGGCGTTGGTGTTGCGGTACCTCTCCATACGGGCTTGGAAGGTCAAGTTATGTACTGCAGATGACGCCATCAGGAATTCCCCGGCTCCGTTAAAGGTGAACTTGTAGCCATCCAGACTTGTCAAATGGGGATCCCCAGTGCCCCCAGCCGGTCGAGGTGGGTCGTAGTCAGAACAATCATCAGATGGTCTGTACTTGTAGTATTCCTTACAGTTGTTTGACAGTTTGCAAAGACAAATAAAAGGAAGAACATCGAACCACTGGTGCCAGATTGTATTCCAGAACCCACCAGGACCATACCTGTCGGCTGTTCCTCCTCCAGGAGGGCCTACTAGGATGTTACCGTCTTTTCCGTAACAACACTGTTGGCCTGCTCCATTCGGCAATGAATTAATAGACCGGTAGCAGTTCTCAGCACCCGGATGGAAGAAGGAATTCGCAAAATTAGCTTCTTGTATGTTCAGGTCTTGACCAGCTTGTGCTGTGTTGCAAGGACATGCAGGAAGTCCAGTGGGAACAGTGGTTTTGAAGAGATACTTAGAAATTGTGCAGGTGCGTTTCACAATTTTATAAACTTTATAGATTCTTCTGGCCAATACAATCACGATTGGTATAGCTCGCTTTTGCACGGCAGATGGAGTGAGATATAATGCTTGAAGTGACAAATCATCACCGGTGAGTGATTCCAGTTCGCTTGCATGTATCGTCAGTCTTCCGTTGTTCGAGACATTGCTCTTCACAGTAACACCTTCCATCAAGACTGGATTCCCTTCGCTGTCGTAATCTGTTGCTTGCGTCATAACAGTCACATGTGAAACGCCTTCACCAATACTTTTGGGATCCCAGGATATGATAATTGGGTCATCTAAGGTTAAGTCAACGATGCCATTGCCATATTCAGATTTCATCTGTTGGATTTGAACTAGTGGTGCAAGGTCCTCTTCAGATGCAACGTACACATTGCCAGAGTACGGGAATGATTCACCATCGTCAAGTGATACATAGACTGGTGTTAGTCCGTTCTTGTACAAGGTGGGGGTGATACAAATAACAGTATAAGAGTCGGTGCGTTCACCAGGAACCAGGACATCTCCGAGGCTAGTGGCAAATTTGCACTTGGCATCTTGTAAAGATATAGCATTTGTTTGCAAACAGGGAACAGTTACTGTAAAAAGCTCGCCACCAAGTTCTCGCAAATAGTAAGGAGTCAAACTCAGCACTTGTTTATTGGTGGGGAGAGACAGACCAGCGGCGTAGCCATATGTCTCGATAAATTCGTAACCATAGACAATGACAGAAAGTGGTGCCGACTGGGGGTCTGTTTGTTCCACGAAATACACACCTTCTCCTCTGGGTAGTTGAACTGTGAGTGATATGTAGTCAGTGTTTGGGACGTCAAATTCTGCTGAAATATTGTTGATTGGAGATCCATTTAGAAATACTGTCGGGCGTCCATTGTTTCTAACGATTATACTAATGAAATTGTAAAATCCATCAGAACCCCCTCCTGCTGAAATTGGTGGCGTCGTAAAACCAAACACAAAATCAAAGTGTTCCTCAGCAGGGACCTGAATGGATGAAGGGTCGACCGTTCTACCATTGATTGAAGCCAAATGTTGCATCATAAGAGCTGGTTTACTTGATGTAACTAGGCCTGAACCCGACAGCCGCCCTTCCCAAAATTCACCGGGTTCCAATGACTGGTCTTCGATTCCCGGGATAGTGAGATTTGTTTCGCTGAAATAAGCGACAATCCGGTAGATATTGTCATCGTCACTTCGGGCCGCGGTGTAGATGTGTTTCTGTCCCCAACTCTTAACGGGTACCAACTGCTCAGTCACTACGTCACAAGCTGAGCCTGGATGATTCACGCATTCATTGCCACTGAACACAGCAACTGGTTTGTCACTCTGAATGATACTTCCAGTTAAATCTTCCGAACTCTGACCTTGGATTTGAACGGCCTCTAAGTTATTGACAGTAAATCTCAACACATCACCTGGACTATAGCTCTGCCCTTCGAATGTAACAGCTCCTCGTAATGTAACCTGGACCGAAGTGAAATCTTCTGCTCCAAGCACAGCAAACTGACTTCGCCAGATAGATACTGGGTTTGACGTCATCACTACGTACTGTGTGCCGAGATTGTTTGTAGGTATAACAAGAAAGCCGTCAGTTATATAGTGCTGATACATCAGGCTGTAGACAGAAACATCGCTAGAAGCTGCAACGTCGACGCCTTTGAGACTCCTTTCGTTGCCGTTCATAATCAGCTCAACCGGAACGCTAATTCGTCTGAATCCACCAGCCTCTATTTCAAAGCTTTCCCCAAACGGCTTTCCTTCAACTTGGTATTTGCTACTGATGGTGACTGATGTTTGCTGATTGCTAAATGCAACAACTAAGATAGCAAGGTTCAAGGTTGAACCCATCAATATATCATTGAAGCCAAGGATAAATCGTTTACCTCTTGATGTCCCGATGCATTGAGGCTGCTTGTTAGCGGGTAACTGCAGATCCAGAGCCAGAGCCGACGCATGCCGTTCGTGAAGTGCTAGTACTATGATTATGACCGACCAGAAAAGATGATCTTCCATCAGACGCCTCATTCTACAAAACAAATCATGAAAATTACTTTGGGTACACATTTTGCCTCCGGTTTTAAGAAATAGTAAGGTTTTTTAATTCAAAATAAGTAAACTTTTAAGAAATGTGGTGTCAGTTTCTTTACTATAGGGTACAAAATAGTGAATATTTTATTTACAAGATATAATTTTGCGCTTGGAGTGATGTCAATTCCATACAGATGTTTGTCAGTATTTCACATATGCTGTGTATCCCTACTGAGTGTATTCCGAGGGCTTGTTCACAAACTTACTCGGATGACTCGAACCAACGTCCTTGGGTTTACCAGTGTTGGAGTACTCGTACGCGTACTCGTACTCGAGTACAACTCGAGTACACACAAGTACTTGGCCCGTACTCGTCTATCAGTACTCAAAACAAATTTGGACTTGGCCCGTACTCGATTCTTCATATTCGAATTTTGCACGGACTCGACGGTTTGGTATCGGTACTCGACCCCAGTACTCGGGAGCATTAAGTACATTTCTGTTAAATAGATTCCATTGCTCAACCTGGCGCGATTGCAGTCTGTAGTACGGCTTAATCCAATTCCCGCCTGCCCAGTGTTACTCACACTGAGGATTGAGAATCGGGAGCCAGCCAAGCTACTGCTTCATATGTTCGCTCGTGACTCTACGTTTTTTCAATATGTAACAACAAACAACCAGCAATTGAAGTCTCGCTTTTTGGTTGGTTTTGTTCATTTTGTCTTGAAAGGGTTTCCAAAATGAACAACACTTCAGGTGTCTACCCAGCTATCCCTGATTTCAATTCTTTTTTAAGAGATGTTGAAAACAAACTGCCAGTGCATTCACTAATTTGATGAATATTGTTTCATTTTTTTATTTCTACATTGTTTACACTCCTAAAAGTTGTTAAGTGTTAACAAGTAGGTTAAGAAGAGTGGAGTGTACGTTGCGTTTGTTTGTTTTTTATTCAATTGATATATTTATTTTTGAAATCTATTGGTATTGTACTCGAACTCGGACTCGGACTCGGACTCGAACTCGGCCCGGTACTCGGCCTTGAATGTACTCGGACTCGGTGCTTTTGACTCGGACTCGTCACAGTGTACTTGAACTCGGCCCTGGACATGGCCACTACAGTACTCGGAGAACTCGGTACTCGGCTTTGAGGAATCGACTCCGACACTGGTGCTTACTAGTGCAGACGTCTTACCACTCGACCACCGAGCTTGCCGGGGACGTCTGGCTGGTTTGAATCTGATAGCAGCAGGTACCGCAGCCAAAACTTTCCATAAGAAGGAATTCTTGCTGGGGTGCAGGCGCGGATCCAGGGGGGGGGGGGGGGGGGGGTCATCCCTCCCCCCAGCTCTGTCCAGAAATTTGTTTGCATACACATTCCTAAAAAGCAGTCGAAACCCCCCCCCCCCCCTGCTGTGTCACCCCCCAAAAAATTATAGTGGTATAATGTCTGCCTGTTCAAAATACGGTACGTCATTCTGTAATCTAGTGTTAAGAATGGTCAGATTTGAACAGCGCCCCTTATTGAAATATGGTACCAGGGCCCCCCCCCCCTGTGTACGTTTTCAGATTTGTTTTGCTGATGAACCCCCCCCCCGCGAAAATTCCTGGATACGCCCCGGGGGGTGGTGTAAATGCTAGGTTTTGCTCTTCACTATTTACACTAGTAAAAAGAAGATCGTGAGTTCGAGTCCTACCCGAGTAAGCTTTTGATTTCTTTTCTCCAAAGTCCTCGAATAACACTATATTGTTAATGAAATACGCCAGTGAAGGGCAAAAACGAATACTGGTAAAGTTGACGTTTTGAAAGGTGTTAATTTTTTTAACAAGTAATACTTTCCAAGTTAATTTAGAACTTGTAAACACACTGTGATATCCAGTTACTATCGGAGCATTCTTCAACCATACCACATAACTCTCAGATTGGCTGATCAACAAATGAATCTTATTCATTGTTTTATCGATCAGTCAATAACTACATAAAATACTTTTGATACCCTGGTCATAGCTAATCAACTACAGATATAATAGTCGCCAAGCCAGCTACCATTCCTTAAAATTACTGAATTCATTAAACACTTTTTAGTTAGAATTCACTATCACATTGTTTAAAGCGATGGTTTAATATATACACACTTTTTATCAAGAAAGAGGGTCAGCGCAGAAAACAATATTGTATTCTCACCTGGTCAACGAATGGTGTTTTTAGCCTCACAAAGAAAAAGATTCGTCTGAGGAACCAACTGCTCAATCCTGCGTTTAGGGTCTGGTGTATCACAAATGTAATCCTATATAACGAAAGAGTATGAGCACAATACAATTTTGGTAAATTAGGCAAGTGTGATACAAGTTAAAATCGTAAAACCGACGTATTTTAGAGGCATGAGTTATTTTTTTCTTTCAAAGCGGTAATACCTTTTGATTGTCTCCTCGTTTCCTCGGAAAAGCGCCTGTCTGCACCAAACAAAAACCGTCTAACTACGTAGGACGTGTGTTACTATAGCCGTCAGTCCTGCTGGTGTTTAATACGGCAACCCTTCGTGACTATATCCTGCTCACTTTGATATATCCATGGGTTTTTATCTCGTGATTAATTATCGTGGGCAGATCTGCACATGTTGCTCGATGTATTTTTGAAATTCCCGTAGATCATACGGTCTGTTTCATCGGGGAGGGCTAAGTGTTTTGATAAGAATTGTTTACACTCCAAGTTGTATGATAAACTATGACCTTGACGGCATTGAACCGCTGGCAGGAATTTTACGGGGACGGTTCCTGCTTTACGTTAACCATTATGGTGACATGAAGTCGTTGGAATTACATGGATGACATGTTATTAATTGCATTGTTTACTTCGTAAAATCAACATTTTTAGCACTTTGCTCACACTCTAAACAAACAAAACTTGAGGGTCCAATGAGCTATTGCACTGCCCTACAATGTCTAGTCTGAGTATCACCTGTTATCTACAGAGCAAGTCTGATGTATAACGTCTGATATGTCTAAACAAATATTTCGATTGGTCAATGCAGTGTTTTGTAATACAAGACAGCCGGGCGCATATGCGCGTAACATGATACAGAGCGCATGTCGCAGCTTTTTTTTCTATCCATTGTCTAATTAATCTTGCCTAATTAATCAGCGAATCGGCCCACGACCGTGTAATATACCATGGCATTCGCCGTGGTCTATAAAGAGTGCGTTCGATTACTTCCCCCAGCTTACTCGCGCCTGGCTCCTCGGGTGATGACAGACATATGCCCAGTGGAGCTAAATAAACTAACCATGCCGGGTAAAGTTTCGTGCAAATAGCTGGAAAGTTTAACTTTGACATGACACAGGCTGCATCCAAATCAACTGTCTAGAGCTAGGTCAACGCCCATCGAAAATACGCGGGGACGCGATAACAATAGACGTAGCCGTAGCTCTGGAAGGCCGTTTCGGAAAAAAATGTCGCAACCTGACGCCACTTCAGCAGTTTGTGTACAAAGTCTACGGAGTCAAGACAATTTTTAAAGTATTTCCTAACGAAATTGGAAATGTTTCTCAGTCCCAGATTTACGTCTTATCGTCATTTTTGCAATGAATGACCTTCATTGAGATGATATATGAAGAAAAAAGTGTGTTGCAACATTTTTTCCGCCCGTTTCGGACACGGCCTGAGGCGTTCTCCGGACGTCACGTTGGCAGCCATGTTCATTGCATGGCCTTATAGGATACCCAAATAACCGGCTCGGCGAGTCTGTTACTTGGGCCAAGCTCGAGAAAGCGCGAGAAGTCACGTGAGAGGTCGTGCTTGCACGAGTAAGCGCGGGGGAAGTAATCGAACGCACCCTACATTGACTATGCAATGTCCAGCATGCATTACTTGTGTTATGATCCCCAAACCAAATAGTAAACCCATAACCCCAGAATTTACTCCCCAGAAACGGAACCAAAACAAAGTGGACATGAATAAAGCAAAGGCAAACCAGTTCACACCTTAATTAACAATTAATATTATTATTTAAACAGAACCAATACAAAACACTTTGCACACAAATTCAATTTAAGACTAGAGATTCGCGTTTGTTGTTACAAACGCAGAGTGGTCGGGTAGACAACAATTTTATGAAACACTGTCCAGTTAAGTTATGAATATTTCTATCTAAGAAAAAAATGAGTATCAGGAAATTAAATCCTTTCAAGGATAATCAATTAAATTTCAGTAAACATTCAATGTACACATACAAGTTATTTCTGGCTTGATAACGTCATTAGTCAAAAACGGGAAGGGAATACTGATTTAGTTCGGAGTGGATGTTCATCGTGAAGTTAAATAACGTATGAACATTTGGAAAATGTAAATGTATGTATTTGTAACACCGAACTTCCGGTTTGATGACGTCACAGTTTTGGGGAGCAAAAGGTGAACATTGTTATGGTATCGTTATTGGGCTTACCAATAACAGTTATTGCACTTCCGGTAACACCGGAAGTAAAGGTCAAGCGGTTTTGTGTCTCAGACAAGAAATGTTTCTCATGGCATAGTCTACAACCTCACGAAAAAATGAACACGAAACTCTATTTAGTTCAAAAGATATAGCGCAAACTATTTTGTCAAATTTTGCCCTTAAATCACTTGTATTTTGATACCTGATGACGTCATGATGACGTAACAAAATTTATAACATCTTCGTAACATGGAACAAGTTCACAGTATGTTTTATGATCATACCATAAACCGTTCGGAAGAAATTTTGCTTTGTTTTGATTTTAAGCTAACGTCTTCATTTTGAATTCACCTTACTTTGACCTTCCGGTAGCCCCGGAAGGAAAGTTCAAACGACTTTGACTTCCAAATCAAAAATGTTTATCAAGGTATTGTCCATCAAATCACAAAGTATGAACGTGATCGTTAATTTTGTTCATGAGTTATAATTCACGGAAAATTGTCATATTTTGACCAAAAATCGCTTGTAATTTGACACCCGGTGACGTCATCGTGACGTCAGAGT